AAAAAAAAAAATAAAAAAAAAAAAAAAAAAAAAAAAACCTCAACGCAACGACAAAGGTTAGACAAACACTCAAAGAGCAATACGAGTAAAAAGAAAGAAAGAAAGAAAAAACATCTTAAAAGGTAATTATCGACTCGAGCGTTCTTCAGTCGCCGAACAGGTGTTTGCCGAGTTCCATCATCCGCTGGTTCCTGCAGACCTGCAGCGCCCCAGCCTTCTTGAGCACGCTCGCGGTGCTACCGTCGGCCTTAACAAGGTGGCACAGCAGGTCCTCAAAGGCCGACTTGACGTTCGGCTGGAGGCCGCCGATCTTGACTTTCTTCAGGGTGTCGATGATCCCCTCGGCCCATCCGGACTCGATCGCGAACTCCGAGAGCCACGGGACGAGCTGCAGCACGCTGGCCATCGTCTGCATGCCCAGAAACCAGAGCTCGTTTATCTGCATCCAATGCTCCTTGTACGATATGTTGACGACCAGCTCGGTCGGGTCGTTGCTCTCGTCCACTATGTACGCGTCCCAAAGGAAGCGAATGGTCGCCTGGATGTACCGGCAGATGGAAAAGTCATTTTTTTTGATGCGCTTGGATTGCTGTTTGAGCAGCAACAGGCCAAGAATGGCCAAGTTCCCGTGGAGCACCAGGTTCTCCGGGATCTGTTTCAGCTCGGGCAAGCTGTCGAAGATGAACTTGAGTAGATTGACAAACGTCGCCGACTCCTCGACCAACTTGGCCTCGAGCACGCTTATGTTCATGAGGACGTTGCATATCGATATCATGGCGGTTCTCGAGTCCTCCATCTCCTCCAGCTGGTGGGGCTCCAGCTCCCTGGCTGGCTCTTTGACGGCTTTGAGCCTCTCTGCTCTCGGTACCGGTGGTTTTTTGTAGTAGACGACGGTCCAATGGTAGGACAGACACTCGAACAGCACCTCGTCCTGTTTGTGCTTGAGCAAGATTTTCCTCGCCGTTTCCTCGACGGTCAGGTGGCAGAGCGCCGGTAGCAGCAGCCTCAAGATGTCGACGTCGCTTATGGGGTCGTGCTTGACCGGCTCACAGTTGGACGAGCCCTCGTCGGGCTTCACGAGTCCAAGCTTGGCCTTCTCGGCCATTCTCCTGTTGCGACTCGCGTAGAAGGTGTCGTTGGCTATGGTGAGGACGTAGGGTAAGACGGCGTGAACCTGCGGGCGCATGGCTTCCGTCTCGTGGGCGAGCCAGGCAGCGAACACGCGGACCACCGCGCAGACGAACACTCGCTCCTTCGTGTCGGTTATTTCCTTCATCTTTGACACTGATGTTAGTAGAGATATCACAGCTGCGAACGCGCCCTTCAGAGCCGTGTACAGCGATTGCTTTTCCTTCTGCTCCAGGTCCAGCTGGTCGCTGATGATGTAGGAGATGGAGATCTCGAGGATCATGAAGCAGGCTACGATCAGCTCCGCGTTGGCCATTGCACCTTTGAGCTGTTTTCCTTCTAGTTGCATTCTCACTTCGATCGAGGACAACTGGACCAGAAGGAGGAAAAAGACTTTGGGCTTTTCTTCGTCGGATAGTGCCCAGTCGACACCCACCAGTTCTAGCATCACGGCTGCGAGCTTCAGGGCCGGGTCTCTCTGGTTTTTTGTAATTTTTGAGGTGAGAATGTCGTTCAAGCCCTTGTAGATGCTCTGAGGCCAGGACTCATTCTTGGAAGATTCGGAGATGACGCTGCGCCTGCAGGAGGCCAGTAGAGCTTGCAAAATCGTGCACAGCTGGAATTTCCTCTCGTCATGGTCCGTCTCGAAGTCCAAGGCAATCTTGTTGACGATGGCGTGGAACGGGGTAGTGTTGGTGGCATCCCATGCCTCTTGGCCAAACTGATTCACCAGATTTACCAAAATGTTCAAGGCCTCGTCGGTCTTGAAACTTTTTTCCGCGTAGATTTCACACATTTTGGGAATAGCATTCTGTTCGAGTAAGGCCTTCTGGCCTGGGTAGAATCTAGCAATATTCTGCAAGCATGTGTAAGCTTCGCTCACGATAATTAAAGAGTCGTCCGGGGCATCCTCGTCTGCTTGGGACACAATTTCCAGCAGGGCAGGAATGTGTCCTACCATGTCAGGGTGAGAGGCAAGAACCGAGTCGTTACAAAATGCAGAGAGTACAGACAGAGCGACGGATTTGTACACTTGCGATGGACAATCCACTGGAACCTCGTCACTGATTAGTAGTTTTCTTATGAATTTGGCACCAATGGCTTCAAACAACAGCTTTTTGGCTGTCGAATTGCAATCTTTTCCATTAACGAGCTTTGTGACCATAAATAAAGCTGCAAACTTTTCAGAGTCTCCACTGACCATCTTCAGCATGGCCACACACTTTTTCACTCCCTCTGGAATGTTCTCCACTGTTTCGCACTCCATTTCAACTTATCTTTGGTCCAGAAATCAACGGAGCAAATACTATCACCAGAAATGCTTTTAACGCACTGAAACTGATTATCCAATAATGTCACAATGGTAAGAAACAGTTTACAGTACTTGCATTCACGCACAGTAAGTTGAACTGGAAAAATAGCTTGAAAAAATACTGCGAATTAGAGTCAATGCTCGATAACTGTGCTGCTGGACTGCTCGACGTAGCTAAACTCGGCACGCAGAACCGTGGAGAAACGAGCACTGCCTCTAGGAGCTCGTCCGTCGTCACAGCACGCCCCTCTGATCTTCTTCCTCTTCTTCTTTTTCAGCTAACTATAAGCAGTAGCAGCCAACTGGCAGTGTTCCCAAAATGTAAAATACACACACCGGTGAAGAAAAAAAAAAAAAGAAGAGAGGAAGTTTAAAAATAAAAGAAAAAAGTTTCTCTTTGGTTTACAGCCTTGCCCTTTGGCTCAACTTACCCACGTAATATGTGTACACACCCACAATCACGGTTCTTATGGGTGAGCTAAAAATACGATTTGCTGAATTTAGACTTGCAACACTTGCAGCAGCAACGAGCCGATATGTTTGTCGGTTACCTCCTTGGTTAGCCGATCAAGCGTAAACAACGTTACTTTTGTTAAGATCAAATGGAATCACAGGTCACTTTTAAAAATCAGAAGAAGAGAGGCTTTGGAGTCATTGACTGCAGCACTCGGTTAGCTGAGCTTCCGAGCTCCCACTGTCTGCTTGTGGCTGCAGTAATCACCGGCACGTCCGGAACGCGAGAATCGTCTCTCTTCTCCGGCACGCCACAGCATCCTCTCCTTCCTCGACGGCGGCAGAGCCGAGGTTCTAAAATAATCACACTGCGCGAGGAAGCGCTATATCAGGCAGCGGCTCGTGTTACACCATGCAACTCTCTCTCTCTCTCTCTCTCCTTCTTGCCAATGAGAGATGGAAATAAAGAAAGAAAGGGGACTCTCACTCACCCCAACGAATATACACGGCACCGCGTGCTGATGGCCTTCTATTTTAGCAGCACGGCTTTGGGTTCCTCCTCAGCCTCTTCAACGAGGCGACGTCGTTGTCGAATTCCACTCGCTCTTTTCCTCATGCCTAACACAAACACGCGCTGTTTATAGCTATAGCTCACGAGCAAACGTCGTGTATATACGCACGCGTGCGCATCATGTAAAATTACGTCAACCGTGGAATATTAAATGTAACGCAAAGTCGCATGAATCCGAGTACGTAAGTATGAACCACATGTTCGGAGAATTCGGCTCTTGGCTCGAGCTTTGTTGTTTTGTCTGCATCATTCGTGATTAATAATATTGGGTGAGAAATGCATCAGGTGCAGTCGTGTTTTCCTCCAAACTATTACTAGCAGAAGACGCGACGACTTTTACAAGGTATATATATACATATGCAGTGTATATATTTATATTGACGACTGATGGAAAGCGGTGTATCAATGCCGTCTTTCAAGTTTTTCGTGGCCATGGGCCAACATAAGGATTTGATTTATCGCGCACATGTCGGAAGTTTATTAAAAACAATTACCAAAGCATAATGAGTCGATTAAAAATAAATTCCTAATTTTATCGAATAACGAGTTAATTCGTGAATTTGTTCCAATAAAGAATATTCAAGAATTCATTTTGCACAACAAAATTGCGAGTCGTTGGTGTGCTGGATCGGGATCGATCTGACATTAAAGGTCAGTAAAAAGAGTGATGACTTATCTCTTTTATACACTTACTTTTTCCTCATCACAAATTTTTTTTTTTTTTTATCGAGCTACACAATAATTTCCTACTTGGCCAATTCCAAACCAACTTTTGAGATAGCGCTTCTTTTCAAATAGCGCGCTTTTTCCCCCACCCCTGGACCAACAACTTCAAGATGTAGTCGTCTGCTTGACGATACAATATTCTTGCTTGTTTTAATTGTAATTTTACAAAGTTTACGAAAGTTATGAGTCTTTGGGTAATTGTTAACTTTTCCAGATAAAAAGAACAATGTAACATACCACATTGTAATAATAAGTTTAAGGTAGGGTATACTATTCAAGTTTCATTCATCATTGCGTACAGTCCGCGCGTTTGACCTTTTGGGTGTCCTTCAGCCCCTTCAGGACATCAGGTCAGGTCTTGTTGGTTTGCACGCGCGCGCGTCACTATCTTATGTAGGTACGTGTAGGTGAATATACACGTATATGTTGTATGTGCACGTATACATACGTATGTATGCATCCTTTTGTTTGTTTTAGGGTTTATTTAGGTATATGTGTTTCAGATTTATACTTATAGGATGTAATTGTTAATTGTGCGTATACTTACTTATGCGTATCACCGCGTTTTCCCAGACCATAACGGCCCTATACGTTCCATATGTGAAGGTTCACTACAGACAAGTAAGTACATGGTAGGTACTTACATGCTCGAAAAACCACATGCACTTTGCACCATTGTTGTTTTTATTCACGGAAATACGTTGGCGCTTTTACACGTCATGCGACCAATTTGGCAACTAGGGATCAATTTATTAAGTAGATGAGGATGTGGGAAATCTGATGACTAATGTAAAGTTGGAACGTCAGAACAAACGTATCTACATGTTATACCTATGTGAAAATCACGCGTAGGGTTCAAAACAATAAATTTCGAACGATAGACATGACACACGAGTTTGCTGGGTTAATTAAATTAAATCGATCGATGAGATATAATGATATATCACACAATTTGGACGGTTGATAAAAAAAAAAATATATATATATATATATATGTATTCATTCGAGCACGGGACTCGAGTTGATCGTGTAAGGATTTACATACCTTGCGACAGGCTAAATTGTCGCCCCTCCGCGTCTCGATGAGAGTGTTGTCCAGGTCGAAGAACAGCGCGCTGAGCTCGGCCTTCGGTCCATTGTCGCGGTGCACTCCAAAGCCAGCCATTTGATAAGCAGGTATAAGTGTAAGGTTACTCTTGCAGAAGATTCTCTTCGCCGTTTCCTCCTTTTTTCCACTTGCAGTTAAGCCAACTGAAAATGTATACAAACACGCAAATTTTCGGGAATTTACCCACGAGTCCGCGTTGCAGTTGCTGATATATATATATATAATGTGTTGTGTCGAGGAGGCTCAGCTGAGCAAGTTTTGTGATTGTTGGGACAGAGAAGTAGGTAAAGTAGGTATGTGGTGTGTGAGAGATGACCCGGATCCCCTCGCTCTCGACTCTCGACTCCCTGACTGTGCTAGAGCTGAGCTGTTCGCAGTCACGACCTGTGCTTTTTTTTTTTTTCTCTCCTGCCGCAAAGAGTACGTCCATCCCCTCCCCTGAGTTTTCCGTGCACGCGCTCTCTTTATCACCGCGCGCGGGCTTTGATGTCGAGTGTGACATGTGTCTTCCTGGTGTTTTTTTTATTTTCGTTTTTCCTCCTCTTTGTTTTTAGAATCATTAGTTCGAGGAAAAGTTCAAGGACTTGGGTCGACAGTGACGTTTTTCAACAAACATTTGCAAACTCCACATGGAAACGTACATAAATACGTTTGACGCTACAGCTAATTTTTGGAAGTTGTCGACTCTGAAAATAATATTCGCTTAGAATACCCACTCGAGATACTTATGTATAAATAGCCTGTTATTTTTAAGTTTATTAATTGAACGGTTTAATTTAGAATTTTAATAGTTGAAAGAACTTTTTGCATCCTTTTATCTATTATCTATAGTTAGAAAAACCAAAGAGTGATCAGGTGTGGCGATTTTTTACTTTCGCAGGTGATTTTTTAAATATTTAGTTGGTAACTTAATGATTATTTTACGTACCATTATTGGAATTGGCTGCCTGTTACACGTTTGCTGGACAAATAGAACACCTATTGCATACAATGACTATTATGATGAATTTATTTACATGAATAATATTATGTTAATAACGCGGTTATCAAGAAAAGTAGATTATTAACATTTAATAATATAATACAAATTGAACTTACGAGCTCTATGAGAAAGAGTTGACTCATATTGTTACTTTGGCAGTTAAATCAAATGTAGCTGGTCATGTTGGTTGCAATATTAAGGAGATTTAATGATTTTCTCAAATTCGAGAAAAAGCAGTGAAAATTCGGAATATCAAGAAGCTGTGAACTTTTTAAATATTTTTTACCACAATTGTTTTTATCCGTTATCGAGGAAAATTTCAAACTATTCGATGCCAAAGTTCGTTCAACGTAACATTAACTCTTACGGAGCTGTGCTTCGAGACTTTATACATTGGCTGTAATCCAACTGTAATATCATGTTCTCTGGTAGAAAAAGTCAAGATATTTGCGTTAGAAGTTACTGTAGTAAATGTATGTAAAAAAAAGCACTGTTTTCTGCTACTTGATCATTTCGACTGATTACATTAAAGTTTTCAGAATAGGTATTAGCAGGTCGCAAGAGCCTCCTTAAATATACATTATTTCCGTTATACTTTATTCATGGAAACTTCGGACAGACAGTCGTTTTAACGTTTGAAAAAAATATTGACACATCTACCTGTGTGGACGAGAAGTCATGAAATTACCATAGATAAAATTCAAACCGGCAACAACTTTTTAGAAATTATTCGTACGAATGGCAAAAAAGATACATCATGTATCCTGTGTGCAATGATAACATTCTTTCTTAAAAATTCTTCTTTCTTTCGAGTACATTTTGCTTCTTTTTTTTCACGGCGCATCTTAACGTACACTCCAGATTGAATATATTTGAATGCGTTAACAAACAAAAACAGATTTGATTTGTAAAACATCGCATTTAAATGTGAATAAAAGGATTCACAATCATTTGTAGCGCGACGAAGCGGCGATGAGAATTGAGGTTAAATTGTTGGTGGAAATAGTGAGTTACTTGCCATGTAATTTTCAAGTATAGAATCACAAAATTTTTCAATTCTTGAATCGGTAGGTATAGTAGCCATCAAGTCGTCATGATACTGCCAGTAAAAAGGTAATAAAAATTTTTTATTTTTTTATTTTCCTAGACTCTTTACTCTTACATTAATTACGCAATCCAATTTCTTGGATTTAAGATCATAAACTTTGACCTCAATAGAATTTTCATCCATGTGTGTACATTTTAGGTGGCACTCTTTTAACTGCAAAATGAATACTTTGTTCAAAATCAACGTGGAAATCTACCGGTTTAATCATTTTTTTCAATTCTGATTGTAACACGCAAGTATTAATTCATACAATCGCGTAAAATTCGTTATGAAATGAATGGAACGCAAGTGAAGTGTGTATTTTTAAATAATTTAAAGTGATTTAATATGGATAATTCCTCACTATACTAATGCCACTCAATGGAGATGATCTATCTGCGCATGAATAAATGTGTTTTGTGCTAACCGATAACGTAATAAAATATATTGTGTTAAATAAGAAAATTCGAGCACTTTTTCACTTACTTGGGAGTTATAAATTGATTTTAGAAATTGCGTTATTGAAAATCAAATTTCCATCAATAGATACATTCACTTTTTTTTGTACTAAGTATTGCAGTTTTCTTTATTAGAAAAAAAAATTTCGTAAGATGTACGTAACAAACAATAAAAAATTGTATTGAAAAATTTAATCCATGTTTTTGCTTTTGTAATATTATATAAAATATAATATGTTTATAATATATTATAATATGTTTCGTTTTTTGTTTATCTGGTGGCGCATATTACCAGTAAAGCACCGAATCGTAACTATTGTCCTGGTTGGTTGCGCACCAGGTGCGAACTTTCATTTTTCTACTGAGGAAGCAGTAAACGTCCAAAAAAAAAAAAAATGCCTAAATGCATTTCGATCCATATGGTACGCAAATTACCACTTACGCGTCCAAAGGGCACGATTGTTGTACGTTTGTGCCTGACTTGCGAACTACGTTTTTTTTTAACTGAAGGGCACAAAACAACATTTTTCCTCCTTCGGGGATAAACGTTACGCTCGGAGGGACGGAACATTTATTTCTACAGATGACCAATAAGGTGTGAATGTCCCTATTATGACCACAAATTTCATCACACTTGTTTCTTTAATTTTTTTTTCTTAATTCCAAGCTTCAATGGTAACAAATACATGAATTTTCATGTTCCATGAATAGGGACATTTACTAAAGAACGGATTAATGTATCCCAGGACGCAGAGCCATATAAATGCTCGAAAGGCGAACTAGTAGTTTTCGTTACTGATGATGTGCATCTCCTCCAGGTTGATCCAGTTTAGAGACGTTTGTGACCGCTGTGAATGGACGCACATCAGTCGCGGACGCTATTTTTCCTACGTCCCAACTTCAATCGTCCAAAAGTTAAGGAAAAAAAAAAAAAAAAAAAAGAAAAAACAAAATCTGTGAGCTAGGAAATTTTTTTTATGTCTTCATAATAATAATAATTACAGCACGCCAAGCGCGTCTAGCACAACTAGTTGTAAAAAATAATACAATATACTTTTACAGTTTTGGAACGGTGATTTTCATAATTGATTTCTTTTGGTATACGGCAGTCTTTCACTAAATTATTAAAATTATAATTAGTATTAATGCATATTTAATATCTATGTTTTACAAATACAAAGGTGAACACTTTGGTGACGTCCTGGTACGTTGTGGAGAGGAGTATCATGCTCTATTGAAGTTTAAACTTGAAAAATCTTTGGGTTTTATTATAAAGTGTCTAGATGGTGATGGTACACAAGGACCATGTTCCAAAAATATTAGTGCACATTGAACAAAGACTAGTTTTTCATTCATTTTTTTCTCGCGTAGGATTCTACGAGGAAAATTCACGAGGAATTATTTTCTTTGCCAAATTTCGCGTTCCTTGTGTATAAACTAACGACTTATATTTTACAGTGGTTTCTTATAACTTATGATATTGTATTGATCCCGGATTTCAATTAAAATTATTTGTTATTTCAGTTCTGATATCACTGCTATTATTTACGTCGTTAAGAAATAACTTATCTTAGTTGCTTTTTAGGCTCATCATTATTTCATTTTCTAATATATCTGTGGCTCATCGGGTAAACTGACTGACTCCATTTTTTTAAAAATTGAGTCAAGACCAAAAAACCTATCCTTTTTTAGTGTTCTTTCGTCCAAACAAACTTTTGAAATGATTCAAGTTACCAATTTCTCGTAATCGGCGTAAAAACCTAAGCGATTAACTGCCATTTTCCCGGCCCAACCTAATAAGTGATGTCAAAAAATCGTTGGTGTAGAAAAAGGTGCCGAAATAATGGAAGAATATTGTATTTAGTAATTTTCACTTTTTTTACTACAGTGCTATCTTGCAATATTATGTAAATAGTCTACCACTCGATAACAACTAATTAGCAAGCAGAAATGGCATAGATTCTCGTGATACATCTTTTTATTGTTTGTATGGTTTGTCCACGAAGCCACAGATATATACATTTATAACTTCTATAAAAAAAAAAAAAAAAATACAAATTCAGTCAAACTCAAAAAACATGTATCCACGGTTAGACATTTGGTTATGCTTAATATGATGGTATTCTTGTGGAGTGTGACGTTACAAAATTTTTCAGTAAGTATCTGCATTATTTTAAAATTTTTTGCAGATCTTGAATTTTTTTCGACAATACCTATAAAATATATTTGTTATGGAATTAAAAAGTACATAGATAAATCGGAAGAATCTAAAAGGGCTTAATAATTTTAACCCAACATCTAATACCCCATGAAAATTTAGGAAGCAGCTTCCAGATATGTACTACATGTCCAGTAGATGCCACAAATGCAATCTACAGAAGATATAATTTTTTTGAGGCTGAAAATCCAACCACATTTTCGGACTTAATTTTTTCTTATCTCGAATTCTGATTGTACGCAGCATTAAGCTTTGATCGTGAATACGCCTGGTACTGTAGAAACTTTTCCCAACTTTCATTCGATATAAAATCTGATCGACTCAAATATTTTACCTCGTTATCATGTAAAAATTTCACTCTTTTGATAGCGCTATCTCCAGGGCAGAGTTTCCTGTAATAAATTATTATTTAAGTAAGATTACCCTAGTTTTTCACTAAAACTAAAATAGCCATTCCACACTATACCTTTCTTTACTGCTGTCATCAAAAAGAATTGGAGTGCCAGACCCATTTGCACAGAAATTCGTACTGCCTTTTGACTCTACTTTTTCAATCTTTAAACTTGAACTGTCAACTAAATTATCACTGTTATAACTTTGACTAGTGCTGTAATAATTACATGTTTCAGACTCATGAGTGAACAAATTTACATCATCGCTTTCACACTCTACTTTTTCATACTTAACACATATACTGGAATTTGAATTATCACTGTGGTGACTATTATTTGTGCTTTGGAAAGTACATGAATCTTTATCCAACCATAATGTTGATCTTAAACTATAATCACTGTTAATTTCATCTTTACTCAAAACCTTAACACCATTTATTGCATCCTTCCGACTGTTGTTGCTGTACGCGGCATTGTTGGAGCACTGCACATCAGAGGACACTTTCAACACATCAGGACTCAGAACACATTCGTTTTTTTTTAGCACTGGCACTGACCCTGTAAGTAATCGTCGTCGTCGACGGCGCTCCTGAATAAATTCATCAGGAAAACATTTCTCACCAAAATGTACACTGCAAACACAAGAAGTTTTAAAGTTAGGTTGAAACGTAAGTCTCAAAGACTTGACCCACTGTTGCCTAGTAACTTCATCTTTTGGAAAGCTGTAATAAACAAAAGCAAAAAATTATTTGACTATATTTTCATTATATTTAATAAATGGGTCCAAGGCTCAGTTACAACAGAGTACAATTGTATGGTAGTTATACTTCATTTAAAGGTTACCATTAAAAGTATAAGCACACACATGTACTTACAAATGAAAACTACGATCACAAACGGTGTTTGCTTTTGTGCCGCAAACCAGGCATTTCTTTGGCATTTTATCCTTTTTTTTTCAACTCCTTATATATACTTGAAATAAATACGTTTTAACAAAAATACTAGTGTTTTGGTCTGATGCAAGGTTTCCTTGTTGACATGTTGTCAGAGAGTATAGAATATATCTCTAAAGGCCAGGGGCATGGTGTAAGAATAGACAGGTGGGCCGAAGGCCCGCCTCTATCGAGTCCAATTTGTGTCGCAGTACATCTAAAATCCGCTAGGTGGTTTCGAGTAGTAGAGGCAGTTTTTATAATGGTCAGTATGACTATATAAAAAAAAAAAAGAAAAAAAAAATTTTCATACTCTATCAATGGCCTGCACGACACGGATCCCTCTGGTGGCTAGTATCGGTACTGCGACAAAATTTGAACTTTTTTTACAATGCGTTGAGGTAGGCCTTCGGCCCACCTGTCTATTCTTACACCATGGCCAGGGGCCAGGGCAGGCCTTTTCTTGTTTCCAACTTTTGAGGCACATAAATTTAGTTAGGTACCCCATCAGGCAGGTGGCGTTAGCGTTGGAGGTAGTGTACCCCCAGCAAACACAAAGAAATCTTCAAGATGTCTACAAGACGTCTTGCTAAAATGAAAGATATCTTCAATAAATTCCAAAAGAAAACCTAAAGATATCTTGTAGAAGTCTAATGTCCATCTAAAAGTCTTATTTAGGAAATCGTATAAGATGTCTTTACGATTTCTTTTAGAAATTTCTCAAAGAAGGCTTTTAGACATCTTTCGAGAGGTGTATATAAATAGTATGAAACAATAAAAGAGAAAGGCCAAATTAAACTCAAGCTTATCATCTTTTATAACTTTAATACATCAAATTTCACAAACTATTTAAATACTGACAACATGATAAAGTTATAAAACTCTGTAAGCTTGAATTTAATTAGGCCTCTATCGTTTTACTACCTGTTTAATTGATTTATGAATATAACACTAATTTTTATTTTTCAAAAAATATGATAAAAAATGAAATAATTAAGAAGTATACACTTGATGTTATCAGTGTTATGGTAACAAATATGAAGCAAAATTAAGATAATCGGTTAAAAAAAAACTCTACGGTGTAATAATTCAAGACTTGGCTATTAAAAAAATTATCGTAACTCTTTAAGGACAAAATTATTCTTTTTCATTTCTTTGTCTCTCTCTTTCAATTTGCTCGTTCTTGTACCTTATCCTGTCACTAGACTTTTGGATCCAAATTTTAATCCACTCAAAAACTTTCTCT